GTAGACCGGGGGGTCTGTAGACCGGGGAGGGCCCCAGACCGGGGGGGTCCCCAGACCGGGGGGTTGGACACAGACCGGGGGGGTCCCCAGACCGAGGGGGCCCCAGACCGGGGGGGTCCCCAGACCGGGGGGTCCCCAGACCAGGGGGGTCCCCAGACCGGGGGGGTCCCCAGACCGGGGGGTCCCCAGACCGGGGGGGTCCCCAAACAGGCGGGGTTCCCAGACCGGGGGGGCCCCAGACCGGGGGGGTCCACCGCCGCCGTCGTCGTCGTCTTGCGGGGGGGTTCGCGTCTTCCGCCTCCGTGAATGTATCGAGTTGTAGGTGCGTCTGCTACCCACTGTAAGATCTGTAATATTAAGTGATTGCTTTGACGAATCACTAGACAAGCAGTTATGTTTGTTGTTTCCATCGACCATCACACTTACAGTCGTTATGGTCCGATGGCTATTTTTGGCTCAAGCCGTTTTGGCTTGAGATTGGAACGGTGATCGAGCGAGTCGCTGCCCGCGATCGCTCAGTGGAAAAGGATTGCTGCCGCCATTGTGGATCATCTTCATTATCTGCAGGGACTGCATTCAGTTGGATACGTCAGTGGCTAGACTAAGACCACGCCCGGACGATCACATTGGTTTAATTACCTTTGAGGATATTGGGTCTAGTTCAAGTAAGTACTGAACGGATTCAGCTGGGGGCTGCTCCGGGAACGATCTTGCATCGTATCCAAGCCAGAGCTGGGTGCTGGACTAGCAGAACCTTGTGAAGAACGTTCGACACGATGGCGACGAATCCTAAGGCGAAGGATAAAACTGGCCGACAGCCACGGAAGAGCCAGAAGCCGACTGATGAAGAGAGGTTGGCGGAAGCCCAGGCGGTTGCCATGCCGCCGAGTCCGTTGGACGAGGATGGACCGCCAGCTCTAGGAGCTGGGACGAGCTCGGGTTCCGCTGAACCCGTCGCACATGGTGATGGACCTCGAGATGGAGGTGAGCCCGAACAGCCACCGAGACCGAAAGAACTTGGACGCGCCGCTGGAGCGGCTGATGATGATGATCCTGAGCGACGTGAAGACGCGGAGGCCGGGCGGACCCCCGGCGGCGTGAAGACGAGCGCGAAGGATGAACCGTCAGCTCAGACAGTGACGCAGAAAGTTGAGAGTTTTGGTGGAGGACAGGGCGGACCCCCTGAAGGAGGCCCGACCGAGACGGCGGGCGCGATGGCGGGAGCCGAGGGAGATCCCGGCGTCGATCAGTTCGAGAACATGATCGAAGGATACCCAGGAGGCTTCTGGGAAGCCGTGGAGGCTGGTATGATTCCTGAACCGGAACTGATGAACTGGAATCAGTGGCAGGCCTGGAGGAAGGCTGATGGCGGACTACCCAGAGGGGTCCGAGGGAGCGATGCGCAGAAACGTGAAGCTGCCCTATGGCAGACGGCCATGCGGAAGTACCATGGCAGCGGGTATAGAGCCTTGCTGCAGAAGAGGACCGCGGACGAGAAGAAGCTGCGCGAGAATCGCCGTGAAGCTCAGACCGTAGCGAGGAGGCTCTTCTCCTCGGCTGAGGTGGGTTCGACCGGGACCACTCGGTCCGCGTCGGATAGCAGTTCGCTGCTGCTTCGTGCAGCCGCGCTTCTGCCGTCGACGGAGACAGCCGATGACTTCTTTCAGAAGATGGACGCGGTGCTGCTGCACGGCAGCATCGCCTGGCCTGACACGTTCACGTCCGAGTTCGTCAGGAAGGTGAAGGCGAAGAACAATCTACTGCATGCGGTATACGAAGAACATCGAATTAGCCGAGACAGCCCGCAGTTGGCTGGAGCAGTCACGGAGAAGTTTTTGGAACGCTTCCAGGGAGACACCGACGAGACCATGCAGACGCCGGAGACGAAGCTTGTGTGGGAAGTCTACGAAGAACTTTTTGAATTCCTGGAAGTGGATATGTCATGGGTAATGGCAGCCCTACGTGCAGGAGAAGCAGTAGGTCCCGGAGGGGTTCCACCACCTTCAAGTGCACGTCCGCACGCATCTGCGCGTGCGAATTCAGATTTACCATTGCCTGGAGATCCTCCGAGATCCTTGGGACCTACGCTAGGTGGTCCACCAGGCGAAGTTTTGGAAGTTGAGAGGGAGGAGGAGGCGGTTCCGCCAGCCGTAGCGAGAGGCGCGGCTACTCTCCCCTCTCAGACCCAAGCTCGGGCGCCTCAAGATGCCTGGGCTGCCGCTGCTGCCCAACTTCCAGCGGGGCACAGCGCGCAGCCGCCGGGCCGGCAAGACCCGCCGGCGGACGCCTGGGGCAGCTATCAAGGAGGACGGGTTCCTGTGGCAGCCCCAGATGGCGGAAATTTTGCTAATATGAATGGACCTGCAGGTGGAACGGGAAGGCCGGCGGCGACCGGAGGCCCGCGCCCGCAGGTCGGAGGGGCGGATTTCGCCCGGACCCCTGAAGCCAGTGCTCGGGGCGCAAGATCCAAGGAGCGGAGCCAGGAGTACGTTCATGAACAGTACCTGGCTCCGGCGCGAGCAGCCGCTCAAGAACTGTACCAGAAGGGCGAGATTCAGCTCCATTGGACCAACGATTGGATGACCAAGCTCGTCCACCTCCTGTCCATGGTCCCAGACTACAGAACGAAGGCGACCTGTCATTCTGCAGCACATCTTCGCGTCGTGCCATGGGGAGAAATCGAAGGTACTCTGAGTTCGGTCAGGATCTCGGAGTTTCCCATCTCGGTCAAGCTGAAAAGGGACGACGAGCCTTCGGCGCCCGACACCGGAGCAGCAAGGCGGCCGGAAGGAGCCCCGGCCGCAGCCCGACCCAGTGGCGGGCCAGGTGCGCCGAGCGCCGCAGTTGCCCCTGGGCCGCGAGACGTCCAGGGCAACGTCGTCGGAGACATGGCTCAGATCGTCGCGAACATCATGACGTCTCAGCGTGAAGCGATGATGGAAGGTTTCTCACAGTTGTCTGAAAACATGACACGAGGCGGTGGATCGGGTCCGAACCGAGGTGGTCGGATCAACTCCACGATCAAAGTCGAGCCGAAGATGCCGTGGCCAGAGTTCGGAGACAGGCACAAGGATCCGCAGGAAGCCGAGGACTTCATACGGTCCTTCGAGGCGATCTGTCAGATGGCGAACAACGGCAGCGGCATGCGGCCCGAAGAGGTGGTTTACACGATCGGGAACTGCCTCAAAGGAAACCGCAAGCTGATGTTCGACAACATCATGATCGACGCGGCGGAAGATGGGAGCATTCGAGGGGATCCGGAAATGGTCTACCACAAGATCAAGGGCCGGATACTGCAGTTCACCGAGACCATGGGAGAGAAGCAGATACGAGTTCGACAGGAATGGGAAGAGCTGGAGAAATCTAAGAGCGAATCCTTGTTGGACTTCGAGGCGCGCTGGGAGCGGGCTCATCGGAACATGGGAAGAGCAGGACTTGTCCGGACGCCGGAGGAGGACCTCGTCGACTACCTCCGGAAGGTGGGAGAAGCTCACAGCCGGATCCTCCGGCACGACAAGCGGCACTATGCAGGGGACCAGTTCCCGCGGACGGCGCGGACCTGGCAGGAGGCCCACGTGATCGCCTGCGAGACGGAACGCCATCAACGCGACACGGAGGCCATGCGGCATAGAGCCTCTGGGAGATCCGGGGCGATGTCGTCGACCTACTCGTCTGGACAAGATGAGTCGTGGTATACGGAATCCGATTGGTATGATTCGATGATCCCGAACCCAGCGGTCGGGGCAGCGAATTGGGTGTCCGGAGAGCCGTATGTCGACGCAGATGCCGTACCGGACTTACATCTGCCCGAATTCTTGTCGTGCGGCCATCCAGCTCGAGACGTGAGGCAGACGTGCGATACCTGCGGGGCCTGTCATGCAGTCTTCACGCTTCTCATGGAGAACCGCGCAGCAGCCTTGGAGAAAGGAAAAGGAAAAGGAAAAGGCAAGGGCGGCAAAGGCCGCCCTCCATCCGGCGAACGGAGATTTGACTCGGGAAGGCCTGTTTCGTCGAGAGGCACCGGACCGGGCGGGAGCCGCTACGCGATGAACAAAGCCGGCGATGACATGTGCTGGAAGGAGCGGGACATGATCAAGGCAGGACTGCCGGCCGGTCGCTGCGGCATACCCAACTGTCCGTGGAGGCATGTTGGAGATCCGAAGGAGAAGCCGTCGTCGGCCCCCGCGCAAGCCGCGGCCGGAGCCGAAGCTTCGTATCCCCCGCCGCCGTTGCCTTACGAGTACGCGTCCGGCATGTGTGAGGCGGACAGCTACTTAGACGACCCGAACCATTGGCCTGTCTGCAAGCACTTTGTCGATCCTACGGACTACGGATTGTGCAGAGGAGGATGCGGGAAACCGCATGATGAGCAGATGGCTGCCTTCGTCAAGCGGGCGTCGCCCAGGATGCGGATGAAGGCTAAGGCGCTGGCTGATTTCAAGAAGTTCAGCAATGACCGGAACCATGGAGCCTCTGATCGAAAGGACAGAGAGCGCAATGGGTCCCGGGGGTCCAGGAGGACTCCTTCAACCGGTTCGAGAAGGCGCAGGACTGAATCACGAGACCGACGAAGCCGGGACGGAAGAAGGCCGTCTCGGGACCGCGATCGTGATCGGGACCGGGACCGGGATCGCGACCGAGACCGTCGTCGTACTCCGAGCAGTGAGAGGAGGAGGAACGACGGCGGCCGCCGTCCGCCCAGGTCAGGAGGAGTGGAGGAAGCGCCGCAGCAGCAGGCTTCAGCGCCGCAAGCTCCGCAGCAGGCCTGGGAGCCTCCGAGAGGGCTTACTCAGATCCAGAGGATGGCAGCGGCGGCGCGGGAAGGGCGTGATGGGCCTTTGGGCCCTGCTCCTTCCGGTCCCATGGTTCACGGGTCCCCGACCTTCAATCATGGAGGAGCCCGAGCCTTCCTGACAGCCTCAGGACGTCAGGATGTCTACGCAGTTGGGGCAAGTTACGCTCAATCTGATAGCGGACCGTCCCCGGCGCCATGTGGACAGGTCGACTTCGGCAGCCTTGATCCGAACCTTCTTTACTCCAAGTACGAGCAGACGGCAGCTGCGCACTGGGCGAAGCATGACCAGCTGCTCGAGAACTTGCGCGTCGGCAAGCTCACGAAGGTCCCAGGAGATCAGGCCGTCAAGCCGGGCAGAGTCCTGAATAGGCTGCATGAGCTCCCTGAAGCGTGTTGGACAGTAACTCCCAACGAGAGCAGGGGGTGTCAATATTACACGCGCGCTCTCATCGGACCTGTCATCAGAGAAGTAATGCTGGACTCAGGGGCCGGCGTGAACACGATTCCCGAGGAAGCAGTGCTGGAGATTATCAACGTCTGCGAAGCAGCCGGGATGCGGCTGGACGACGACAACCACCCGATTCTCCAGCTAGAGACCTGGCGATATGGAGAGGAGTGCCGAGGGATCGCAGGAGGAGCGAAGGTACCGCTGATCGGAGCCGTGAGCCTCATGATGACCTTCACCGATCGGCTCACGAACAGACGAGCGACAGTACCCGCAAAGTTCAAGATCCTCGCGGCGAACCGCACCGATTGGGTGCCGATCATCTTGGGAGGCATGGCTATCGACTGTGTCGAGCGTAAAGGCCTAGGCGTTGTGCCACAGAAGGCGGGATTTTACATGGCCGCCTTGAACATCAGCGTCGAACGGCTCGACAAGCATAGTCACGGGCGACCCGATGGGACGGTATGCGCTCTGCGATCTGAGATTGTCCGATCTGCCTTCGATTCCGATTCAGAGGACGGAGAAGGTGAGGACGACGCGGACGCTTCCATGTACGAGTCGGCGGCTAGTTCCGAAGTTTCTCCGACGCTCCTGTCAGCAGCAGCGAAGGAGGCCTTGAGAGATGAGTACAGCCAGGTCGAGATCGACGAATTGGTGCTGAACACTGTTGGCGTCGTCATTCCCACGGGGGGCGGCGCATGGGTACCAGTCGTACGCAGAGAAGCGAATGCGGACCCGGAGACCGGGGGCCTACCGGACTCAGAAGCCGGTAGGAATAAGCAGAAGAGCATGCCTGCTGACAAAAGCTTCCCAGGGATCGGGTCCGCAGAAATCGTAGTTCCTTTGGCAGGACGGCCGGAGGTAGTCCCCGGCCTCTGGGATACTGGAGGCCAAGAAGGGATGGTCTTCATTGCGAACCCCACGGGCGCAGACGTCCCGATTTCGGAAGGGGAGTGCGTAGCAGGAATAATCCCTGCCGGAGTTCAGACACGGACTTGCACGGCGTGTGGTTTCGTCGACACGGACGCCTTTGTCAACGACCTGACGATGTGCGACACGTGCGGGACGTTGCTCCCAAAAGGCCGATCGCCGTGCCGGAGGTGCCTCGCCGAACCATCTGGGGGCGAGCACGTGAAGCTCCACATGTACGCAGGATGCTCGGACTGCAAGGCTAAGGTGCAGTCCCTCTTTGCGAACACCGAGATCGACTGCCCTGCGGAAGCTCGCAATGAGATGATGGCCGACTCGGCGGCCGAGAGACGGCAGCGGGAGGACCAGGTTCGAGTCGATCGGACTAAGGTCAGCGTTAGCTCGGCGGATGGCAGTACCGTTGGCACGTTGGAAGTCCAGGATCCGAGAACGACACCCTATTTCTTCGTGGAGGAAGTCGGTCACATTGTCGAGGAGCCGGGAGGCATCCGACACATGACAGACTGCGAAGTCCCTCCGGCTGGCTACTACGTGGAGCTGGAGAAGGATGTGGCCAGGCGACGCCCGAAGGCGAGCAAGCACGTTATCGAGCACGCGATTTGCACGGAAGCGTTCTTCGATGTGTCGATTATTGCGGGATTCTCGCACGGGGTTTCGAAGGCTCAGATCTTCAAGCAAGAGGCCGTTTTGCTGGGGAACAAAGTCGGTAGGTTTGGAGCCACGGCGGATCCAGAAAAGACCGCTGCTATCATGAACTTCGATCCGCTGAAGGAACAGACTCACGTCCGACAGTTCCTGGGATGCACGAACTGTGTGAGGGGATACATGCCCGAAGTATACCCAGTGGCCGCCAAGATCTTGGGGCAGTTCAACAAGTTGGACGCGGTGTTCCCACCAGAAGGCCTCGGAGGGCCGAAGCCTCCTACCAGTAAGGACCCTAAGATCCAGGAGGGCCACCGTGCAGTTCGAGCGATCAAGCTGATGACGAAGTACTGCGTCGAGCGTGCCGTCATGGACGTTGCTGGAGCGATTGACGGGACTCGGCCGCTCGAGCTGATCGCCGATGCCTGCGGGTACGGCTGGGGAGGAGTGGTGCTGCAGATGGATGCTGCGATGACCGCGTTCAACGTCCTACTGATAGTGGGGGGCGGATTCACCGAAGCTCAGCAGCACTGGCACCCCTTCCATGCTGAAGCTAATGCTCAGCTTATGTTGAAGAGAGCCCAACGTAAGCATCTTGGATCGATGAAATCAATCTGCTGGACAGACCATGCTAACGTCACGAGAGCGGCGAATAGCATGGCGACGGCTGACGTCGACAGTAAAGTGCTGCGCTGGATCGCCGAGATCTGCGCGGACGGGTCGGAGATCCGATCCCTTGCTGGCAGGTCGGCCAGGCTGGCCGACGGAATCTCGAGGAATTGTGGCAATCGAGACCAGCTCCTGGAGGAAAGGACGAAGGAACTAGTCGATCGGTCTGGGAAGCTCCAGTCGTTCAACCTCAAGCAGTACCTGTCGGACTGCGAAGAACCAGACTCCATCCAACCGTGGGCGGTTGGCGAAGATGGATGGATATCAGCAAAGGATGCGGACGTCGCAGGAGCTCTGGGACTGGCGAAGGCAGCGAGCGCGGCAGCGACGGCGGGCTTAGCCAGTGCAAGCCCTGCTCGCAGCAGCCAGGATCAGGATTACTGGGAATATCGCGACGCTTGCATCTTTGGGGGGCGAAAGGTAGGAGCCTATGTGCGTGTGCATTGCCGACCGCGTCAGGCCTTATTCACTCCGATCGGAACGAAATGTCCGGTCGACACAGATAGGCTTGAAGACGCTCGAGAAACAAAGATGCGACCGCACGATGCACCTTTTGCGGATACCATCGTCGTCAAAGATAATTGGCGTGGTTTGGATCCCCATCGTTTGGTCCATCCAGGACAGGTCCCAGCCCCGTGGACGGGGGAGACGATGTTCTTCATTCGTGAGGAGGACGCGGACATGGTGTGGCCCACAGTCGAGTCTGGACCCCATGGCCCGTGCGCTGTCTACGAACAGATCGACAGGAACGTTTCGACCTTCCAACTTCCGCGGCCAGGCGGGCCGCCCTTGGAAAGGATTTTCCAGGTCACCACCTTCCTCTTTGAGAGAGCAGACTTCCACCAGAGAAAATATGAGTCATTATCGGTGGAAGAACACGAAGGCCTTGTCATTCGAGATGTAATTCTGGAACCCGGCGTAGCCAGTATGATGGGGTACGACACGATTTCTCGACAGGCGGTGGAACTCGAGTCGCCGATCGAGGAGGTTATGGGCCTAGACTTCAGCAACATTCAAGAACAGTCCGAGGATCCAGTGGAGCCGACATGGGACATCGTGACCCAGTTCCATGCTCTACCAGACCCGGCTAGAGTGAGAAGCCTAGCCTGGGCCCATCAAGTCATGGCGGATGCCGGGACCCCCTTGACGGTGCGAGTTCTATACTTATCAGCAGGAGGACACCCTGATCAGACCAAGCTGGAAATGGCTAGGCTGGGAAGGGACCTGGGGACCTTTCTGCCCCACTGTATGGTGGAAATGGGACTCGGAGAACTACCATTCTTTAACGACGTGACCAACATCGGTAGCTACTTCGACCCAGGGACGTTCTCCGTCAGGTCGGAGACTCAGAGGAACAAGAACATTAAGAAGGATCTAGTGACCTCCGTAAGAGCGACCCTTCGATCTGTCGAGAGGTTCAAGCCGACGTTCATCGTAGGAGGCGGAGCCGGAGCAGTTGTCGCGCTCGGGCTATCGAGGCCGGAGTTCGTGGAGGAGACGTTCCAGTACGGGAACGTCCAGTTGGTCGAGATCGAGAGGATCGCCCCGATCTGGTCCCAGATTTTAATGATCGTGGCAAGGAGACCGGCAATGACGAAGGCGAGCCTCGATGTGGATCTCCTGGAAAGGCTGTTACCGACGCTCTTTCGGACAGGAGACGTCGAGCCTGACATACCGATATTGGGTGTCACCAAGTCGACTGCAGTCAATGCTGGCGTACCTTTTCGGGACAAAGTGGTGCGGTTCTTCGAGCAAGCAAAGATACCGATGCACTCGACGCTGGCGGATGTGAACTGGAAGGACGCGACGAGTTTCCCTCGACGACCGTACTGGGGCCATCAAGGAGTGTGTGCCTGCGGCAAGCGGGTGTACCTCTTCTCGAGGTGTTTCGGCTGTAAGCGCCGGGATAAGCAGGAGGAGGACGAGAGTGTCGACGACTTCCTCCGGCGTGCGAACTCCAGGCGCGCGGATGTCACGCCTCTGCCAGATCGACCAGCCGACGTCATGGCCAGACCCCCGGACCGATACGGCCGGGACCCTCAGTGTGCGACGCCTCTGGAGAGGGAGCACGCACGACTACGGAAAGTAGTAGTGGGGGACGACGTCGAGGAGATCGAGCGAGAGGCCGGTCCCATGAAGGCCGTCGTTGCGGTGGAAGGCGAGCCTGATCTTCCGCAGGAGCCCGAAGGCGAGGACGATCTGCCGGCAAAGATCGAGCAGAACCTCGCAGCGTCCGCCCTGAGACGGAACCAGTTGCCGTGGACTCGCCGGATGGCTCTGAACGGCGGCAGGGGCGTCCAGGACATTGACTTCTTGAGCCCGATCGGCGTGTTGCAGAGTGTGCAGGACGCCGGTGGATTCTTCGAACTCGTGAACAGTCCTTTGGTTTGGCCCAAATGCGAGCGGGTAGGATTTGGCTATGCCGGAGACGACCTGCGCAGGGAGTTCTCCGTCATGATCGACCGCGGGAGGCACGACCCTTGGGAGACGTGGACCCCGTTTGAGATCACAGACGATGTGTATGGAGGACACCGCCCGATGGCGAGGCGGCCGACCAGAGCGGAGTACGAGATTGGCGAACGACGAGACATCTCGAAGAAGGAGTTCGACTCCTCCCAGACCCAGAGGTACAGGATGATCATCGCAGTGGACCTCAGCTATCACTGGCAGGAGGCCCACGATGGAGTTCTTAATCACGGAGCTTCACCGGCTTTGCGGCTTCAGGTCACTCCCATACAGCAATGCGTGGACCTGATGACGACGGAAGCCTCCTCGGTTTCGATTTGGAAGGACATAGGCGAAGCTCGTTTCGCAGAAATCGAGATGTCCGGCGTCTCCCCGGCGCTGGACAAACTTTTGCTCGAACACTGCGGAGACAGACGCCCGCCTTCAAATCGAACCCATATGGCCGAGAGCCTCATCGAGCATCCGACTCCTGAAGAGGTGAGGAACTTCGGATCGATCTACGGCTTGAACGCGGAATGGGTCTGGGGCCATACTACCGAAGCTTGGGACCAAATGACAAGTATCGTTTACCATTGGATTAAGAGAATGCTGGACTTTTCTCGGCACGGAGACGACGGGAGCGTGATAGTCTTCGGGAAGACGGCAGGCGACAAGAACTGGAGTGTCGTCTTTGCCTTCAAGACCTCGGAGGCCACTAAACGCTCGGAGGCCGACGAGGGCGCCTTCGTTTTCAAGATGCTGAGAGGGTTCGACGCGATGAGAAGGCCATCACTGTCGGAGACTATCGCTGCCATGGGGGAAGGCACCATGCCGTGCGCTACCATGTGCACGATCCACCACCAGAGGATGCCGACCCAGAGGCGGCCCCGCTTGATAGTCACCTATTTCAGCAGTCGATGGATGCTTTTCGACAAGTATGAGTCGGACAGCCGGACGTGGGAAGCAGTTCAGCGCCGAGCGACAGGCCGGCGTGAAGACTGGTCGTGGATCCAAGGAAACGCTGGACCAATGGTACCTAATGACAAGTACCAGCTTTCTAGGCTGTACACGACGTTATACCCCTTTGAAGGGCCCTTGAGCGTCGAAGATCACGACGAAGTGGAAGGACTCCTTCCACCCCCGACGCCCAGCGATCAGACGGTGGCGTCGGAGCGGGACCTCGTGCATTTTCTGGGAGACGAGGAGGAGGAGCAGGCCCTCAAGGAGTCGTCCCTTGTCAAGTATCGGGACTGGAATTCCAACCGTGACAAGGAGAGAGCCAAGTTGGAAGTGGAAGCTGAAGAGGCCTGGGAGTTCACTGTCAGCACGACCCTCCGGGTCGAATGGTTGGCTGCGCAGCAGAGGGATGCCGATTGTGTGCGCACCCTCAAGAATTTGCACCAAGCAAGGAGGAGTCGCGCCTATGATGCTCCCCGAGATCCAACCCGCTTAGCCAGTGCGAGCGGGCGCAGGGGGGACGTTGCCCAGTCGATCTTGGACACGTTCAGGATCGCCGAAGACGGGCTGTTGGAACGACGAGTTCAGTCATCGAACTTAGGACAACAGCCGTGGGTTCCCGTTGTTCCTGAAGGATACGCTACTGGGCACCTTACCTGGAAGAAGTTTGACTTCTTGCAGTGTCACCTAGGAGTGCTCGGAGGCCACAGGAGCGCGGACAAGACATTCGCCTGCATGAAGCGTTTGTGCTGGTGGAGGCACATGCACGGGAACGTGCAGACTTGGGTCAAGAACTGCGGGACCTGCTTGCGGTTCCGAGCCGTGCCTCAGAAAGTACCGACGGGCCCTTCGGTCCCTGCCGACATGGAATGTTGGCAGGAAGTGATGATTGATCTCGAAGGACCTAACCCAATCGACAGGATGGGTAATAGGTACTACATGACGTACATATGCTGCCTCTGCCACGGAGTCTTCTTGTGCGGGCTGCGGGGCACGAGTGCGAACGAAGCCCGCCGGGCCTTCGCATCGTGCATGTTCCGCTCCGGGACGATTCCGTCAGTCGTTCGGAGCGACTGCGGCCCCGAGTTCAAGAACCGCGTGATGGAGGAATTCACGTCGATCTTAGGCATCGGACAGAAGTTCGGAACGCCATGGAGGCCCATGGAACAAGGGCTCGTGGAAGGGAAGCATAAGGAGGTCCAGAAGCTGTTCGGGATCTTGGTCAAGGATGTGATGAAGTGCTTCCCGGACGAGGTCTCGGAGTTACTACCTGTCATCGAGTACATGATCTACAATACTCCAGGGCCTCACGGCTACACGCCGAGAGATATCGACCGAAGGTTGTCTATGAAGACACCTCTCGAACGGGAACTTCATGGAGTGACGGTGAGCGAGTCAGAGCCGCTCAGTGAGAAGGTGAAGGCCACCTTCACGGCTTACGACCAAGTCCGGAAGCAGGTCTTGGAGATGAAGCGACAAGACGCGATGCAGCGGGCAGACCTCTCGAATCGCCACCGAGTCGGCAAGCGGATTCAGAAAGGCGATCACGTCTTAGTTCGAGACAACCGGCCGAACAGAAGCGGGGGGCGTACGGTGTGGAAGTCGCCTCTGTCCGAACCGGCCGTCGTTCTCGACGTTCACCATAATAAAATTCGCGTTCGGCATCAGGATGGCACCGAACGAGAGGTCCATGTTGAGCAAGTCCTTCAGATTCCTGGTGGATATGAGGACCATGAGCATCTGAACCCGACCGACATGGCGGGCGATCCGACCGACATGGCCGGTCCTGGGGCGAATCTGACCCCAGTCCCGCCTGATGAAGGTGTTGTTGCCCAGCCGGAAGGTCAGGTTCAGCCGAGGTCCCCAGGGCAAATGATGGAGGACAACGGAGAGACGCTGTATAAGCACCAGAAAGAAGTTCGAAAGATGTTTCCTCGTTCGCGAGGCAAAAGAGAAGAACTGGTGCCCGGCGTCACGAAGATCGCTTACTCGACGTCATCCGAAGTGAAGGCGATGACAGTGGGCCTGTTCATGAGAAGCTTGGACGAGACCCAGGAAGTGGAAGTACATGTCTACGGAGTGGCGAGAGATTTGAGACTCACGACCAAATGGAAGCCGCTCTCCTACGACCGACCAGGCCGCCCATCTCTCCAAGGAGACGCCGACTGCACCGAGCAAGCTGTGCTGGAGAAGATAGCCTACAACAGGATCATACGGCCAGTAGGCTTGAGCCAGGCGGGAGTGATGACGGCGGCAGACCTTCGAGCCTTGGACACCCAGGGGTGGTCGGCGAAGCCATCCCGTCTAGGCGAAGGATATGCTCTCGTGTCTAGACTGGCAGTCCTGGACCATCTGAGCGGCCAGGACAAGTTCGGCGGAGTCTTCGCCAAGTACCAGGACTTCAAGCAGGTCGAGGCGGGCATCGACCGTATCACGGTTCCGGGCCTCGATTCCATGCTGGAAAGGATTCGACAACCCAGAGACATGTCGAATGTCCCGGCCGGAGCCGCGGCCTATTGGCCTGGAAGAATCTGGGGAGGATCCGAGCCAGTGCCGGATCCGCCACGGATCCCCGCCTCAGGGCCGGCGATCGGCGGAATGGGCAACGGAAAGTACGAAGTCGACTTCCTGGAGCTGTTTGCGGGATGTGGGATTCTCACCGAAGCCTGCAGTATTGCTGGCCTGAAAGTGGCCTCGGGACTGGACGTATTGTACCAGAGCTATGGCAGGGCGTGGAATTTCGCGAATCCCGTTGACCAAGCGGACTGTGCGTACTTGATCGTTTACGTCTTCAAACCGAAGATCCTGCATCTTGGGATCCAGTGTACGGAGTTCAGCATGCTGGGCAACCGGGACCCGGATGCCGAGACTCTGGCATGTGTAGAGTTCTCAGGGAAGTGTGCCGACCATCAGAATCGCATGAAACTGGGGGCGTCCATCGAGGGCCCCTGGAAGTCGGACCTCTGGGACCACGAGCTCCTCAGTCAGTACGTGGAGTTCACTGATCAAGGGTCAGCCTGGGAACGGATCCGAAGCGCGGGTTGCCAGTTCGGTATGACCTTCCCAGGTCACGAGGATGTCGAGGTGCAGGACGGTGACGAGTGCTACGTCTGTGATGCGTATGGATCATGCATCGAGAAAGGGCGCGGCTGGCTCAGTAACTTCGGGCTGGACCTTCTGTCTCGGAAATGTCACAACCCAGACGCCCTTGCTAAGACGATGCACTTCCACATTCATGCTCGAGGAGACTATCTCGATCCAGAAGACGGGAAGAAGAAGAAAGTGGCGAAGTTCACCGGAAAGTATACCCCGCAGGAGGCAGCCGCTTATGCCCAATGCGCTGCACTTCGGGTGTCTACCGAGTATGAAAGGATGACCCTTGAAAAGATCGAGCAGCAGAAACCGACGGAATTGATGAAGATTGCGAAGAAATCACGGTGGTACGTTCAGTACCAAGGTCAGCCTCCTAGACAGTTCGGGGGGCCGGACTTGCCTCGAGCGAGCTCGACGAAGTCGACCCGAGGCTCGGAGACGATGGAGCGGAAGGATGATCGACCGCGGGCTCCTCGTCGAGATCTCGGGAAGGACCGCAAGAGCCGCCGGTCGGCGGGTGCCGTGGAGAGCGGAGCGATCTCTTATGCTTCGCTGGGCATTCTGCACTCGATCCCGGAAGGATCGGACTCGGAAGAGGACGATTCGACGGAGGCCTGGAATATTGAACCAACTGGACTCGGAGCGACACGCCCGGGCAGTGGCGAGACCTGCCGAGCGCCGGGACCTGACCCCGACCCTCTCACCGGGGATCCTGATGCTCCTCCTCGGCAACGGACCATGAAAGAGGAGCAGGAAGACCGGGGGAGGCACAAAGCGGAGCAGGTCAAGTGGGATCAGCTTTGGATGAAGCGTGCATCGGAGAAGGACTGGGACCAGATCCGGACCCCCTTGGAGGCATACCGTTACTCAGGATTCAAGGACGAGGTGACGGCGGACACTCGACGCACCCCTGACTACGTGCAGAGGGTCCTCGCAGAGCTAGGCGTAGCGAAAGGCGCGCCTCCCCTCGAAGGGTTATCGGAAGCGGACATGGAGGTGGTCAGAGAAATGGTGACTCGCAAAGCGGCAGTCTTCTGGATTGAAGGGACCCCGCGGACCACCTTGCTCCATCTGATGCACGACACTCGCCCTACGGGGCCTCCCGTTAGGACGCCGCCGCATAACCTAAAGGCGGAGGACGCTCAGTTTGTCGACGAAAAGTTGATGGAAGAAGTCCAGACAGGCCAGTTGGAGCGGGGCAACAGCCCATGGGCTTCCCCGCCGTTCCCGACGAAGGATTTCGCTGCACACAAGAGGCAGCGGAAGAAGCGCATCGTGGTGGACTACAGGAGAGTGAACCAGCGGACGGAGCGAGCCGTCTACTTTGTGAGGAACCAGGAGGAGATTGTGATGTCATGCGCCGGCAGCGTCTTCCTTACGCTCGTCGACGCCTGCAAAGGGTTCAACCAGATCGTGAACACCGAGAGGGCGCGTCAGATGTTGGCCATTCTCGCTCGGAGCGGACAGTTCCTACCGAGATGCCTGACCTTCGGGCCGACGAATGGGCCCGAGGACTTCGCCTTCGCGACGGACCGGGTCTTCGCCCCAGGTGAAGGACGGCGTCGATGGTTTTGCGACAACTGGCAGATCTACGCGGACGACGTCACTATTCGGACAGGTCGAGTCTTGAGCGGACGCCTGTACACCGATGAGGAGTACCGATCGAAGATCGACGCGGCGAAGATCAGGAAGCAGGAGATGGAGGAGTCGGAGAATTCCGCGGAGAAGCAGATGGTCAGCTTGGAGGAGGCCCTGAAGGCACTCGGGTTCCTCTGCGAAGCCGAAGACACAGGAGCCGAAGGCGCGGATCGACAGGACCGCGCCGCGGACCGAGAAGGCCGCGCGTCGACAGGCTACTGAAGGAGAGAAGAGCGACTGCGGGTTGAACGACCACAGCAGCGCCTTCCAGTCGCCGATTGCGCACGCAGTTCGGTCTATCCCGGACCTCCTCCACAGGACGGAGATTCTGGCGAACACGCTCCGGCTTAACTACCTGGACGAAGGTGATCCTCTCCGCTTCCTGCATCGGGACGAGGTCGTACTGGTCCTAGTCGCGGAGGCGGTGGACAGCCTGACGAGGATCGTGTACCGGCCGAGCAATGCGCCGGACGCAGTGTTTACTGTGAGCCCGGCCGCCGTCAGCCTGGAGACCCGGCTGTTCACCCTCCGTGCCCAGCACGGGGGTATTGGACGAGTGTACGACAACATGCCAGACAGGTGGCAGGAGCTCGCGGAGATCCTCAGTATCGGACTCGGACCTTATCCTCATGAAGATCGCCTGTACACTCCCTGGGAGTGTGGCGTTTGCTGGGAGCCCCTCGGGACCGAATGGTGGCTATGCCCGATGTGCAATAGATTGAGAAGCCAGGAGGCAGTGGACGCTTTGACTGGAGATGTGCTGACTCGGTCTTATCCAGAGCGTGACGGGGCGCTGGGAGCAGCGTACGTCGCGCGGACGCAGGCCTGGGACTGCCAGGTGTGCGGCACGGTCGGAGCAGCGGAGCATTGCATATGTCTTCGCTGCGGAGTCAGGAGGGCTGAGACGCCGTATGCTCAGTGCCGGGCGGCGTTCGGCGCGGACGGAGCTGCCCACGATCCCGGACCAGACCCAGTCATCATCCAGGTAGGCGAAGCGATGGATGTCGCGTCGCGGGGGCCGACCGTCGTCCCTTGGGACGCGGCTTCGGTCCGCTCCTGGCCGGACTCAGAGGCCGGCGGCACAGATCAGGCGGCGCGAGCCTCGAGGCCGGACTCAGAGGCCGGCGGAGCAGATCAGGGACCGCGGGCCTCGACCGACGGTGAAGAAGCTGAGAGTGGTCTGAACGATCACAGTAGTGCCTTCCAGTCGCCCTTCGCTCAAGCAGCAGCGTCGGCTGCAGCAGCGTCGGCTGGACGGCCTGACGGACAAGCGGGGGCGCTCGACTTTCCAGAATGGACGTTGGATGGCCCAGTCGTTGATCTGCTTGGAGGGCGCCCGACTGTCTGGACAGAGGTCGAGATCGCGCAGGAGGTTCTGCTGGAAGGGTGGCTTCACGCCGCGAAGTTCCCCGCGAAGCTAGGCTACGACGATTCAAGCCGGATCGAGAAGGCCGGCCCCGGCAGCGATAGCCGAGGTGGCTACCCCGAAGCACAGCCGGTCTTCAACGAGATGATGACGAGGTATCCCGAAGCGGAAGACCAAGCCAAGCTCAGAGACCTGCTGGTCGGACTAGTTCCTGGACTCGAACCCAGACATTGCGATAACTGCGGAGCCCGACTGTTCCCGATGGTGAAGGCCCGAGCCAGTGCCGGGCCCATCGGAGGGCGTCACCTACCGGATGAGTATCGGCGAAGAGAAGAGGAGCGCAGACTGATCGACGACGGGACGCTTCTCTCGGTCGTCGGCTCTCTGGCCGTCTACGGGCACGAAGAGTGCAGCGAGTGCAGCACAACCAACGACTGCGCCGTCTGCTGGGCGGACGGAACGAACTGGGGCTGCGAGGAGTGCATGGGATGCGAGAGGTGCGGAGGCCACATCGGCCAAGGGCCCTACATGGCCAGTCTCGACGGCCTACGCAACGGGCCCTGCACCTGCGGACCGACACGGCCGCCGACTGAAGGTGAAGCGGCGGACGGCGGGCTGAACGACCACAACCCCGCGTTCCCGTCCCCCTTCGCTCAGGCGGCTCCTCGTGGGTTTCCTCACGAAGCGTCTGACGCTCAAGCGAGCGGTGATCAGTCTACGAATCTGAACTTGCTGCGCCCGCCACCGGGAACCACTACTGTGCTACAGTACCGCAGTGACGATGACGACCCAGCGGCGATGACTGGCTACATCGATCGACAGCCGACCGCGAACGACCGGTGCTACCCGTGGAGGATAGAAGATCCCGACGATCCGATGAGGTGGCTGTTCTTCTCGGAAGTGCACAGCCTCATCATGACGGAGGCTCGTCACTACGCTGCGACCATGCCGAACGCGGCGCCAACGGAGGTAGTGGCCCGAGCATGGGACGCGCACGGACCTTTTCGCCGGATCATGATGCGGTGCGCTCGTTCCGGACAATTCGCTCTGCAGGACAGCTTCACGACCAGCTTCAGCATGGGCATGCTCTACAATCTCAGAGAGAGCCAGCCGTGCCGAGGCTGTGGCGAGCGAGTGTCCGTGGAATGGTGGATCTGCCCGATGTGCCACCGACAGTGGCTGGACGAGACGGATCAACCGAGGTGGCCAGCCTGGAGGTGTCCGAGGTGCCCGGACAGACGATGGGCCAGAGACGAGTTCTGGTACTGTGTCGTCTGCCGGTATGTCAGAGACCCTGCTCCGTGGCTAGAACACAGAGCTGGCGTCGAAGAAAGGAGGAGGCAGCCGTACCACCAGTATGCCGACAACCGCAACGTGCCTCCACCTCCCGCCTCGGGTGCCCCTGTCACCGGAGAGCGAATGAGAAGGCAGAATCCTATGGAGACTTGGGCGATAGAGCATCGAGGCCGCGCGCTGTCTGACAGCGAACGGGCAGCTCTTGGTCTCACGGACGCTGCCCCGAGTTACAGGGCGCCGGACGCTCACTTGGTCGAGCAATGGTATGAAGAATTCCAGCTGGTACTGGCTCAACTTGCTTTTGGAGTAGTTTCGATCATGGCTCAAGTTGGTCTTGTTCGATTCCTCTTGATAGCCAAGGTCTTCTACCATCATCATCATCGTAGTAAGTATTCGGAGAACCTCGATTACCAGAGCGTCTTGGGAAGTTCGAGCCTAGGATCCGGGCAGTCTTGGAAGGCGCGCGACCAGAACGCCTCTCGGATCGGGAAGAGTACGTACCAATCCAAAGAGCCTAGCGAGACGCAGGCTGCGGAGTTTTCGAATCAAAAGGGGCCTGAGATGCCTGAACGAGAGCCCAGAGAGGACCCCGTTGCGACAACTCTTTGTGCAGTGCTGTGTCTGATGGATAATAGTCGAAAGGACCGTATCCAGCGAGCGGTCCTCGAGCATTGTCATGAAACATGTTGTGCACACGAGCGGAGCGAATTGTCATGCTGCAATCGTTTAGGCTCAAAAGCTTTGCAGCTGCAAGCCAACGATTTGTGCCTCCAGGAGGCCGACGACCCCTCGCTAGCCAGTGCGGCGAGGCCGCCGCAGAAGGCGAGCAGTCACCCGCACCCAGTGGACGGGATGCCCGGGGCGCCAGATAACCCGAGGGGCCCGAAGCTCGTGAACGCGAACGAGTTGGGCAGGTTCAACTGGATCTTCGGCCAGAGCGTCTACGAACCGCCGAACGGGGCGCCTGAGAGGTGCCGTGGCAGCGAGGGCGAGTCTGACTGGAAGGACGGGCTACCTGGAGCATTCTGGAACGCTCGCGAGGCATGCAATAAGAACAGCACCTTGACAGTCTGGTGCCCCTGCATCAAGAGTTGGAGGCATGACGGCAGACATGAGATGTGCACCATGAGAGACTCGACCCGGAGGTATCGTCTGAACGGGGGTCGGGGAGAGCTGACAAGGAGCTTCTACTGTTGGGCGTGCGGAAGTATCGAGTTCGGAGACAGCTGGCACTGCAAGATACATGAAATCGATTTCTGTATGAGGTGCCGCGGCCAGTTCGGCAGGGAGTACCTTCCTTCATTTTGGCTAACTTGGGAAGTCGTTATGGAGCGAATGGGGCACGGAGGACCCGACGGCCCGATGGAAGAGAATCTGGTCGACGAGCACGAGGACAGGCACGACCCCACGGTCAGAGAGTTCATCCACTTTGGCATCAACCCCGCCGAGATCAAGACGAGCTATGACGGCTCTACTCCGTGCTCGAACGCGGAGATGCGGGACGACAAGATCCGACGGCTATTGGATGCAGCCCGTGTGGCGGAGCAAGAACGGCTGGACGCCGCAGCCATGAGCGGGGCGGTCCTGCGGGCCGAGAGGCGGGCAACCAGCTCGGGAGCCCCCACAGGGCGGGGTGCTGTAGCGAAGGCGCAGCAGACGCGAGGAAGCAGGCCTGGGAGCAGGCCCGGCAGTGCTGGCAGCAGCCGGCAGAGTGTTACTCCACGAGGATCGGTGGCTAGCGTGGCTGGTGTGCTGACGCCCCGAGCGAGACGCCGGGACTACCGCCGGCGTTTGCCCGTGTATCTTGAAGGTTTGGTGCCAGAAGACGAGACCATCAATGTCCTGAACTGGTGGAACTCAGTCAGCAGGAACGTGCAGATGCGACTCGATCACGTCCTGAAGGAGCATACCGACCGCGGCCGGACATGGTGGAACTGGTGGGAGTTGTGCGGCTACTTGGCAGGTCAGCTCTTGCGGCACGGCAAGAGAGGTAACTACGATCGAGGACCGCATGACACGCTGCGGGGCTGCCCCGACTGCCCGGACATCCGGAGCTGTTGGGCAGGGCCCGCAAAAGTTCCAAGGCTGCGCGAGGACATGTGGATGAAGGTCTCGGACATCGTCAGGTTTCCGAACATGAAGTTGACAGGGATGACGGAGAACGACCTGGTGGCCTACATCCATCGGATGCAAAGTCGCCGCGACGTTCCATTGGACATGAAGAGGATGCAGTTGCAAGTGGTCGACGGCGTGCCCTACGCCCGAGCGGTCCAAGGGCGCTCAGCGGAGGCTCTTCTGAGCGCCGGAGTCGAAGGCGACGAAGGCGTCATGGGGCTTGCTTGGTTCCCGCCGCCCGAGCAGAGGTTCATCTGCCATGGCTTCAACCGAGTCCGCGACGTGGACCTGCGCCGAGACGGGATCCTCTGTGGGGGGACCACAGCGTACCGCGTGTCTATCCACTGCACGCTATCGCCGAACGGCTTCGTCGATCCCCTATCTGGGCAAGCCTACCAAGGGACGAAGGGCAACGCCTACGCTGAGATCGACGTCCACCGCCTGGCGAAGAACTACACGGCGAATGGCCTGCCGATCGTGTTCTACATGAACAAGAGCGGCGTGATCCTCGTCAGGGGGGCCGTAGGCGTGCAGGAGAACCCGGAGTGCATGATGAAGAACGTGGAGAGATATTGCATCCCTCCGGACTGCATCGCTCACCTGAGGCTCAAGAGAGATGGGAAGCTGCTCCCGTCGGAAGTGGCTCGACAGGGGCCAGCAGCCGCAGTTGCCATTCAGCCTGCGGCCGCTCCAGCCTCAGCAGCAGCCGCCGAACCGGCAGCCTCCCCGCGGTCTGGAGTCAAGAGAGCCGCGACGGCAGCGGTTTCGGCAGTGGCTCCAAAGCGAAGGCCGACTGGGGGGCGCCCAGCCTCAGGAGGACCGAGAGCTCGACCCGGATCGAGAGGACCGGGAAGCGCCAGGGGGACGAGTAGTACAGGAGCCGAGCCGACGGTTCGGCTGACCATGAACGACATCTACAAGAATCCTGAGAGGTTCGCTCCCCCAGAACCGTATGCTGGCATCAGCAACGAGAAGGGCATCATGCATGGCATGAACTGTGTCCGGCACCTCAAGACGAAGACCTACAACGTGATCGTGACCGTCGCGTCCAGCCCAGTCACTGACTTGGACACCGGCTCGACGGGCCCGTCCGCCATCGTCAACGCGGCGGACATCCACTGCCTGGGAGGCCAGGGTGTCGACAAGGCAGTCAACGACAAAGGGGGACAAGGACTTCGAGAAGCACGACGACGATTACCAGTTGTGGGTCGCGAACATGGAAGGGACGTCCGGTGCTGGACAGGCAGGGCAGTACTCACTGGAGCGGGTGACCTGACCTGCAACTACGTGATCCACGCAGTTGGGCCTGATCTCAGGGACAGGCGATACGGAGATCGCGATGGTGAAAGGAGAGGACTGCAAGACGTGGCTAATGCCTACGCCTCCGCTATGCAACGGGCGAAGGAGAAAAGAGTCCGAATCGTGGCTTTCTGCTTGCTCTCGGCAGGAATTTTCGCAGGAAAGGCCGTGGCGAAGAAGCAGATCATCGATCGCAGCCTGTCCACCATCGCAGATTACGATTATCCAGAGCTGGAGCAAGTGTTCGTCTGTGGCTTCACGGACGAGGAGATGAAGATCCTGATCGAGTGCTGTGACGACTATGCGCGCTGGACGCCGAGTGAAAGCCCCGCGCCCGAGCGGCGCGTTGTGCTGAGCGAGAGGCCAGCGGACAGCAGCGGGACGAGGAGAGTCGAGCTGAGAAAAGCCGACCCGACCCAGAGGCGGGAAGGCAGTGCCGCGCAAGGATCTCCCGAGCCCGACGAGCAGAAGAGAGAGAGGAAGAAGAGGGCCATAGTCACCGTCATCGATCGCGACGGAGTCCAGGCCATCGTACCTGCTCAAGGGCGGAATGTCGTCCCGGAGACAGTGCTGTCCCAGCGCATCATTCAGGCGAAGGAGCTCTTCGACTACGCGTCGAATGAGGAGAACACGGACGAGCTCAGGATGTTCGAAATCAAGGCCAGACGAGGTGCGGAACAAGATCGATTGAGAGGAGCTAAAGAGTCAGATCGAGGCCTCCATAGAGATCTTCTGAGAGCAAACGAGATGGAGACGCAGCTGAAGGACCAGACTGTTGTCAAGGACTCCCAGTCGACGGAGATCAGAGACACGGATGTCGCCAGGATGGTCGCGCTCAACGGCTCACACGGCGGATCCTCTGCCTCAGCAGTTGCAGAAGCAGAGCAGGGGGGAGATATAGCCGTGAAGAGCTATCCAGCGTACATCATTCCTGAAAGAGCTCCATCCAACGAGGAGCGCGCCGAAAGGAATCGACGCGACCTCGAAGAGTTCAAGAACGCATTTTTCGTCCAGATTGCAGCACATTTCGAGGAAGCCGTAGCGAACATGCGCGGCGAATTGATGCAGTACTACGACGCGAAGAACTCGGATGATCCAGACATACGGAGACTCAGCCAAGCGACGATCGACCAGGAGAGAGAGAATTCCCCGGGTCCCGATTCCGACCCGAAGTTGCCGGACAAGGAGACCGCGGAAGCCCCTCGAGGGGTGGCTGAGGACGAGATAGACAAATTCAAGAATGGGGACTTCTCCGACTTGGCCAATCTCTGGAAGGACCAGTGGTTGCTCGTCAATGAAGGGCTCAGGCCGTATTCGGAGGTCCTCACCAGGCTGTACAAGCGGAAGGACCGTTTCGACAAAGAGATCAAGCGGAGCAAGCGGGACGAGCCAGGAGCCGATCCAGTTTCTGAAATGGATACTCTCGTGGGCGTCCGCAAGATCGTCAAGAAGCAGATCCGCAAGCTCAGGAAGTTGTGGGAGGACAAGCACGACTACGAGCAGACCGGAAAGGACAGCAGTCTGCGGAGACGGTTTCTGGGCTTCAGCGTCGTAGCAGCAGCGGCTTGGCAGGATGCGAGCCGCCGTGTCCGAGATTGTGCAGCCCGGAACCAGATCACCTACGAGGCGATGAGGATCGGTGCGACCGCTCTCCAGAAGGTCGCTGAAGGCACGGGTCATCCCATACCCGACGTTCCAGCGATGGCCGACGGCATGGCGAGAGTCGAACCCGGCTTCGCGGAAGGAGCCCGAGACGGCTTACGAGCGGCGTGCGAAGGAGATGCGGAGCTCACCGAGTACATCAGCGAAGAGATCACGAGGCGCATCAACAGGAACGACGCACCAGGAGGAGGTGACATCCTTAGCGACATGGCGGGGATGAGCTTCGATGACCGACGAAAGGCACTCGAGAATGCTCGAGCAGAGGCAGCTGCGGCTGGAGCAGGACTCGGTAGCCAGAGCGCCGAGTGCTCGCTGGAGGATTTGAGAACCTACAGCGGTTATGGCATCGGCTTCGCCAATGACAGGGAGTCGAAGACGGACGCGAATCCGCTCATCCGCCTCCCTGGGTTTGCGGCAGGAGTAAAGATGCCGTTTCAGCACAGCAGAGTGGACGACCTCGCGCAGGCGGTTTTCAAGAGGGTAGCGACCGAGACCGCCAGCGGCCTGAAGGAGAAGATTATCGGCGTCCACAACATCCGTACTGCCAGACCCGAGGATGCTGCCAAGGGACGCGACGAGTTGAGCGCCAATCGAGAGGTCTTCTACTACCTGAACAACATGACCGATCTTTATCTGGAAGAAGTTGACCTGCCTGAAGAAGAGGACTCAGGCTCGGAAGAAGAGAAGGCCGACACCCCAAAAAGGCTCACCAAGAGGAGCCTCAAAGTTCGTCTCATGAGCTTGATGTTGAAGCGGCTGAAGGACGAGAACCTCGTCACGAACCGCAGCATCGCTGAGAACTTCGAGCTCCAAGACGTGTTCCACGACGCAGTGGAGAGAGTGCTTCTGGATTATCGGCGGAGGTTCGGAGCGAAGGGAGCAGGGATCCTCCTGTGCCTGGCGACGAACTTCTCGACGGCCGGGATGGTGAAGCAGCAGGGTATCGACCAGACCTTTGCGAACGAGAGGAAGAAAGCAAGGAGAGAGGCTCGACAGGCGGACGTCGACCCGGTCACGGGCAAGAAACCGGTGGGTGTTTCAGAGATGAAGAGACACTACCTTGAAGCGAAGGCCGGAATAGACGATGAGATCATCGACCACATAGCCGACCGGCTTACTGAGACGGGAGCCTTCCCCCGGGATGGGCCCCCGTTGCCCGACGATCTCAATCCGTCGAGCCATTCCCCGAGTGCTGACTCTAAGGGCACATCAGGTCGGACCCAGTCTACCGAGCAAGGCCGAGCACCGAGAGGGGCGAATTTCAGCCGACAGGCGGAAGCCGCCGGAGCCGGAGCTGCGGCAACGAGCCTTGCCTCTGCCTCGGCCCCAGTTCGGCCGATCAAGACCAGCAAACCAGGATGGCTCGGTGATCGCATCGTGAAGTTGAAGAAAGTAGAAGGAGCGTATTCGGAAGACATGGAGTCTAGGATGGAGAAGCATCGACACGCTGACCCAGTGGGTAGGACCGTCACCCAGAACCTTGAGCAAAAGTATGCGCAGATCTCTCAGATCAAGCAGACCAGACAGCTCAAGAAGAGGGGCGGAGATCCTGCCCCAGGCGTGGACGACAGCTCGACCGAAGCCAGAGCTCGGTCACAGCGAGCCGAGGGGTCCTCCCCCGCAGCCGGAGAGGATCAGGCCGAAGCCAGTACTCGGCCTGCCAAAGCGGCGAGGACAGGGATCAAGACCGAGCCGGGCGACGAAGATGGATTCGACATCGACCGAGTCGGCGTGTATGTCCGGCAAGCAGCAGAGCATCTGGACGCAGGAGCTCGGCCGGACGACGCCGCCGCGTTGATGCGGGCCTACGTGAAGGAGTCTGGGCGGTTGAACCACCTGCGCCGCAAGGCGGACTCTGATGGACGACGGGAAGTACGTCAGAAGCTGGAGCATGCTGGAGACGAAGAGGCTTCTCAGCAGGGGCCGAAGGACGACGAGAAGGACCTGTGCGAAGAGCACGCTGATATGGCGATGGATCTCGTCGCCTCTGCGATGGAGCGCGTGAAAGGCGAGTCCACAAGCCGACCCGCAAGTGGCGTGGACGCGGAGATGGCTACGCCGAGCGCTGCCGGAGGTGTCCTCAAGCCGGAAGGCGCGGGGTCCCGGAGCTCAACTCTGGATGAAGCGCTGAAGACGCCCGCGGAGAGAAAGTCTCGGAACAATACGTTCGACGAGGAGTTGACGAAGATCGAGATCGAGAGGAACCTCCATAACCTAACCAGCAAGTTCGACAAGCTCAAGACGGTAGAGGCTGCGTGCAGTGCAGACTTCGACAAAGAGATCGCGCTGCAGGCGCTGCAGGGCATGTACGACAAGATCATGAACGCCGTACCTCCGAGCAAGGCCCCGGATCGAGATGACCGGGTGCCCGCGGAGATGGAGAGAAGCGAGGACCTGGAAAGGACGGCCCCTTCGCTTGTGACCCCTGCAGTCTCATGGGACACCTTGTACAGGGCTGCTCGCCTAGCCGAGCACCCCAACCGGGATGTCCGGACGCTCCTCAGAGACGGGTGCGGTTATCTCGCTGACAGCTCGGAGAAGAGTAACGCGGACGCGGTGCGAAAAGGACTGGTTGCGATCTTCATGGAGTCGGTCAATACCATGAGGGATACCAGTCTCTCCAGCGGCCAGAAGGAGCGGATTCTGCCGTACCCTCAGATCGGGCTAGCAAAGTGCGAGCAGCTCAGGTCTTATTTGGACCCGACTGAGCCGTATGCCCAGATCGGCGAGGAGGAGTGGACTGCGATTTGTGACCACTACGGGGCCATGTATTCCAGTGGCGACTCTGACGATGAGGAAGCGATGGTGTTCCGCCGAGGACATGGAGCAGACCACAAGATCCCAGGGTACATCTTCAAGAGAGAAAAGTACGAAGGAGTGATCGAGAGGACACTCCTGTTCCCGCGGATTCACCCAGTCACAGGCCAATTCGACTTCATCACTGAGCGAGACGTCCGGAACTGGGGTTATGACACGGGAGAGCCCCAAGGTCGGCGACACCCTCTGGCCTCTGACAAGGCGGAGTTGCGAGACTTGGCGGACAGGATCGATGGCCAGGTTCGCTTCGGAGATCGTAACTGGCCGACCAACTTCGATCAGCAGGTTGAAAGGAGCCGATCGCGGCTCTCCATCATGCAGAAGAAGTACAGGGTCTTCTACATCGGAGAAAGAACGGACGGACCAGCTCACGAGCTTTACGTTCTACCGAGGCCCAGCATCTTGTTGAACCTGATGGGGACCCTCTTGAACAACGTGGAGCTGGTCTGGGCGGTTATCAGGATCGGGATGCGAGATATCGTGATTCCAGGCAAGCGCTGTCTAGCCTGCCCGCATTGCGATCGTCCCTGGCATGAGAAGTTCCATAGCGGTCCGACCGAGAAGGCGGACGTGCGGCTTTGCGCAGTGACAAACTCGCTTGTGCATTCCGATTGCTGGCCGGCCCATATTCTCCAGAACACCGATGAAGCTCTATGCCGAGGGCTTCGGAAGTTGTCGCAGGAATGGCAAGATTTCCGTGCTCTTCTCGCAGAAGAATCTGAGTGGTGGCCGGACTCAGGAGCACCTGAACCGGTTCTGCGGACCGCCGACAGGAGGAGCAACGAGGAACGGCTCAAGTCGGACCAGGCCGCGTACCAGCCGGATGCTGACCACATCTTCAGCGCGAGGACGGAAGCGGCCATGCGAGAACTCATGGACTCCGCATTGATGGCGGAACGAATCCAGGATCGAGCTTTCCCAGAACCCGATCGAGAGAACAAGTATTCCGACATAGACTTGAACCTGCAGTTCAGTGATCCAGAGCGAAAAGGCCTGGAGGGCAGACGTGAGCTCGTGTATCAGGTCAATGCGATCGAGGACTTCCTTCGCGTGTTGGCGATCAAGAACAACCGTTCGGAGAACTCCGCCTATACTCCCCTATCGGGAGAAGAAGGTGCGCGGAAGCAGGCGGAGATCGCGAGGCAGTCGCAGTACTCGGACGACGAGAACATCGCCCCCGGGAAGTTCTGCTCGGCGCGCGGGAGCGTCATGTGCTTCCAGGGCGCGGACCGGCGTGCCCGACAGAGGCGGCCGGAGAGACTACGCGCGGTCCTCGGCGGGCTCTTCAGCCGAGTTCACGAGGAGCTGGAGAGCTACGACACGGACACAGACAGCCAGCTAATCCAGAATGAGCTGGAAGGATGGACCTTGGAGGAAGCGCGGGAGCGGCTTCGGCGGTTCCGACGCCAGACCACGCGCCAACTCACGTTGATGGAACGAAACCGTGGAGTGAGATTCGGGTCTCATGTCGGCAGGTTAGCTCGACAGGGCAAGGTGCTCGAGCCAGGGACGGGCATCAACATGTGGACCGAGGCGGAGATCGAGGAGCACGTTGTGGCTCAACTCCGTTCAGTCAAGGACTGGACCGGCGACCGCTTCGTGACCGGCACGGAGGATGACGTAGTGATACGCGCGTCTATCTCGACCAGGCCGCGGGACGCTCCAGTCCATGAGCGGCTAAGCCAGCAGTTACTTCAAGGACGAGCAGCAGCAGCTCTTGACCTGGCAGTCCAGGCTTCTTGCCGGGCGGACGACAATCAGAACGGCATTGCTGGACTGCTGATTCGAAGCCTGCTGGAGCAGTTCTTGACGGATTGCTCGATGGCGGACCTGGCGCCGGTCGACTACGGCGGAGGCACTGCGGCGAAGACCAAGGTCATGGTGCTCATCAAGATCTTGTATCGAGTGTATGAGCGCAGTAGACAGGTCGCTGCAGCTTCGCTCCGGGATTTCCCACCGAACATTCTTGACCGAGCAGGAGAGGTTGCCCTAGAGAGAGTCGGGGCGGCGCTGGTCAGGAAGCGCATGATCGACAGGAAGTTCGTGTGCGTCTTAGGGGAGGACTCGAGTCATCACGCGACCGTGACTGTTTACGCAGACGTACCGTCGGCAGGGAAGGTATGGATGGAGCAGATCGGGTCACTCAAGTCTTCGGGCTACGAGGCGAGCGTCAGAGCGACGGATGACCGGGACGACGCCGCAGATGGGAGTGCCGCCTGGCACCATCAGGATGAGGACGACGTGTACGAGTCGCGTCAACGTCTGATCGACGAAGGAGAAGTACACTGCGTCTCGCCCGAGGACTCCGAGATCCACCTCATCAGGACGGAGTACATGCTCGAGGAAGAAAAGGCTCGCAGCGGCAGATTGTTTCCCGAAGAAGATGAAGGTCACGTTCTGTTCAGGACCGCGACCATCAAGACGGCGCTCAGGAAGCTGTACCGAGCAGGACAGCTGGGCATGGATTTCTGGGTATGCCGAAAGTGCGGGACCCCGAACCACCCGTCGGGGACGATCTGCAGAGTAGCCTTGTCGATCGATCGACCACGATGGGTGAAGACAGTCCACCCTCTCCTGAGCGACAGGCCAGGAGCTCACCCGAGGCAGTACAGGACCGTCAAGATGACCAGAGCTTGGAGATTCAAGAACGGGAGACCTCATGAGCTGGAACAGGAGCCGAGATCAGGATCGGTGAACCTAGCCGATGGGATCTTCCAACCCTACGTCTCGGCGGGCGAAGGCATGGGGCAATGGGTCGTGCTCTGCGACGGGACAAGGGCGACGACCTACGGAGGAATATTCTTGGAAAGAGGCGATTACCGGCCGAATGGCAGAGCGACCGCCATCTTCCGAGCCCTGACCCGAGACGAAGGAGTCCAGGACTACTACGAAGGCCGGACTGATCAACAGATCACGACCGCGATTCGAGACGAGTTGGAGGCGGACTCGGACTTGCTGCTGGACAAGCTCCGCATCTTCTACGACCGATGGGTCGCCTTGTGGCATACCGCCGGGTACTTCAAACACCGGCATGAAGACGAGGCTCAGAAACGAGTCGAGTCGGAGGCCAACGCGATTATTGGTTCTCTGAGGACGTGGATCCAGCAGAGCCTGGAGCGACCTGAACAAGGTGGATGGATCTGCCATCTATGCCACTTCGTGCGCGACTGGGATGAGACGGTCGCCGAAATTGCGGAGAAGGACCCAAGCAACGTCGTGGTCACGAGGCATGCTGCTGGACTCAGAAGCCGGCTGACAATCTCGCAGAGAGGCACTGACGTGGACACGATTCACAGCGACGACTTCATCAGGCGGATGGTCCCGCGCGGACTGACCCACCGGTGCGTCATGAATGATCACTTCCGAACGCAGTGTTGGGATTGTGGTCACGTCAGGTACGGCCTTAAGCCGGAGCAGTACGGCGAGAAGAGCTACGCCTATCTGTGCAGCGAGTGCAACCCCACCGGGGACATGCGAGCGGCCATCGTCACCACACGGCCTCGAGTATCCGAGGCGAGTTGCCCTCTCTGCGGCACTGTGCCGAACGAGGAGACGACGAAATATTGGCCGAACCCGCCGATGAGCATGGAGCACGTCCAGGCCAACCTCCAGAGGGTGCGCCAGGACAGGCCGGGGGTGGGCTTCCCACGAGTTCACTATGGGAACGAGGAGTTCATGCCCCCCGCTGTGCTACCCGACATGTCCTGGGGAGGCCTGGCCGGCCTCACAGACGAGAACGGGTTCGATCTCGGAGCTCACGCGCACAAGCGCTTCTCGAGGGCGATCAAGGACAACTGGGAGATGGACAAGATTACGCTCGTAAGCTCCATGCAGTTCTCCCATTTGCGGCAGTCAGAAGAGATCAATGAGAGGCGCGTAGCTACCTTGAGAAGGATGGACATGCAGCCGAACTGGACCGCGGACGAGACCGAGCAGAGGAATCAGACGGAAACCGCGGCCAGCGCATCAAGCGGACCCGGAGTCAGACGCCCGGGCGAAGCTGCATCGTCAACCGACGGACCACCACGAGCCGACGAAGCAGGTACGCCAGCTCCCCCTCGGCGTGTGCCATGGAGGCCAGCCCAACAGGGAGCACCCACTCGGGATCCTCGATGGAGGGGATCGAGCGGATCTGACTGGAACGACGGGTGGTGGCGACGGAGCGGCTGGGCGTGGGCCTCAGGAGCATGGAGCACCGGAGGTAACGGCCAGACGCTGACCGAGATGGCGGCGGAGCAGGAGTCAGTTTTCCCTGCCTTGTTCGTGACGCTGATTGTGCTCTGCCTTACTGTAGCGGCGTGGTATTACTGGAGGCGTGCGACGGAGTCCAGTACCACCCGTACTACCAGTCCGACAGCCAACAGGACAGCCATGATCATGGTGAAGGCTGGGGCCTCTGTCGGGGGGCTCTGCTTGAAGATCGCCTGGAGGATCGCGGAGGCAGCTGTCAGGATTTTGTATTTTGTGCTGCGGACGATCATCGTGGAAAACATGATGCCGAAGAAGAGGAAGAAGTGGATCGTCAAGATGGAATCGAGTGTACGACTTCTGATCGAGGAGGCGAACGCTCCACCATGGGTGTGCGAAAACTGTGGTTCCTCCCAACCGGCTGGGACATTCTGGTGTACCACTGAAGGATGCGGTGCGCCGGGACCGAGCATGGAGTATGCTGAGGAGTCCGCAGAAGATTCCGCCGTAGCGCCTTCGCCGCCTGCTGCATCCGAGCCAGAGCCGGGTGGCAAAGTTGGCGAGGACCGAGGAGATGAGCCCGATGATGACCTACCCCCTCTGGAAGAATTTGATCAGACTCGAGAAGGATCAGACGACCGTCCCGGGCTGATTCTTGAGGAGGTGATCGGGCGCGTCGCTTGGGACGCTGCGTCGAATCTGAGCTGGGAGGTTATCTCCGAGCAGGAGAGAAGAGAGCGCACTCAGGAGCTCACTCAGGAGCTCACTGCCCGTCGGACGAACTACAGACAGACAGGGCCAGCCGAGATCAAGGAAACAGTTTTGCGCGCGATGTATCCGGCCATCCGTGAGAAGGCGGAGAGACTGATGCGCATTCCGCTCCGACACATCGAAGCCGCGTGCAAAAGGCGCGGCCTCCCTGTGACGGGGAGCCATCAGATGAAGTGCCTCTGCCTGGCGGCGTGCGAGAACAGGAAGATCCATACTCCGGATGAATGCGTGGACGCGGCTCTGGAAGGGTTGCCTGTCCCGCGGATTCCTGCTTTCGATGATCTTAGCGTGAGACCGACAATTCGATATGTCCAGACTGGGAAGGCTGAGTCAGAGCATCGGATCGTGAACGTGTTCCCGCCGGAGTTGCGGCTCACGATTACGGTCATGACGGACAGGGTGCACGAGGACGACCTCAACAGGGTCCTTCGCGGGCGAGGTCTTCCAGCGGAAGGTACGAAGCTCATGAAGTGCATCCACCTGGTGGCATGCGCGAATCGTCAGCCGGACTACTCAGACGTCGGGGTGGACGCCGTGATGGCGATTGCGACGGAGACCACGACGGAGGAGAGGCACAATCTCAGCGCACCTGAGCTGATCAGGCTCGCCCGGACACGGCGAGAAGCACATGCAGCAGGTGCAGCCGGTGTCCCGGGGCTCAGAGGAGGTGGATCGACAAGACCGCCGACCGTAGGCGAGGCGGGCGCGATGGGCTTGAATGACCGCAACCCGTCGTTCCCCTCGCCCTTCGCCCAGCCGTACGGACTGGTCGCGATGAGCCTCACCTGCCTGATTGCTGGCATCCTTGTCCATGTGTTCCAACAATGGGCGAGAGCTGTCGGACAAGGAGGAGCCTTCGTCATCAACAGCACGACGATGACCGTTGGAGAAATTGTGCAACGCTTCGGAGATCTCGCTCGTACAGTTTTCTCGACTTTGGAAGACATGATCGACGAGATCGGTGTGACATGGAGTTGGGTTGCCGGAAACGTGAGAAGCTTTACTGACGTGGTCTTCCGCGTCAGTGCCACATGGACGACAGTTGGAATGGCGATCATAGCGATATGCGTGATCTGTTACCTTCTGGTAGTTATCTGCGAGGATCCAGATACGTTCTACTTCAGAGACGGCATTCACAGAATTGCTGGGTCCGCACACCGGATCTTCCTCTTGGCGCAGCGAGGACGCGAGAGACGTGCTCAGACGCCCGCTCCAGTCCAAGGACCGGCCGATCATCGAGACGCCGATCCAGCTGACGGCGATTGTCAGAAGGACCGGGGCGAAGGAATCGAGCGGCGCGTCGGGGAGCCTGATCGTCATGAAGGGCTCTCTGGAAGCCCGCCGCCGACATGTCACTGGTGTGAAGGCCCTGCGTATATCAGATGCAGTGAGTGCCGGAGGATGTGCTGTTTCAAGACGCACTACGTGGAGGAGTCCAAGACTTGCCTGGTGTGTTCAGAACGGCGAGGCCTGCGGAGCACGGTAGAGCCAATGGGAACCAGTAGCTGGGCCGCGCCGCAAGTCGTCGTCGAACCTTGGATTGCGAGTGCCGGGCAGGGGATTTTCTCTGTCGCGAAGATGAGGAAGTCTCGCCGATGGGAAATCCTCGCAGGGGGACTTGAGACAGTAGTCGCGGGAGCAGTCAGACCTTTGATTCCAGCAGTCCCGTGGATGCGAGACGAGCCCAGACGAGGGGTAACGCAGTCCGGGACGCCTGGTCCAGCTGTTCCTTTAACGCCGGACATGATTGTCGACCTGATGTCTGAGGAGGACCAAGACCAGGTCAGGTTCTGGAACGAGGCCGGAGTCGATTCGGAGTCACGAGCTCAAGCCATCTTCTTGGGCATGGGAGTTCGGAGAGGACCAGATGAACGACCAGAACTTCGATGGGTTCCAGCCCCGATCGGGGAGCGTCAGCACCGAGAGGTCCCTCGGCCAAGCTGCGCTCCTACCGCTGCAGGTGAACTCGCAGAGCCGAATGTGGAGAGATGGCTGGTCCGAGGACCTTCCCGCAGTAGCGGCTGCGACGAATCTGTAGTCTACAAGAGGATCGGGAACGAGGTGGAGGACTGGAAGGATGCACGGAAGTTCTACCACCCGAGTCAGGACCGGGTAAGTGTCGGTGACTGGCTTTGGATCAGCAAGCACGAAGAGTACGGATGCGAGCTGTGCGTCCATTGTGCCTTCCTGTGCATGAAGTCCTACAGAGCGAATGCCAAGACGCAGCTGTTCGTGGAAGGCCGCCTGAACGACCGATACGATCTTGACGGATATCCACGGGACGTGGTGTGGAAGATTCCAGGAACAGTCGGCACGGGCTCTGTGAACCGCCAGAACCAGATCATGACTCCGACCCGGAAGGACGATGCAGATGCTAGGCTCGATCGGGAGCTGGCGTTGCATCGTGAGAAGAACATGACCAAGACGTCAGCGAGTATCCCTACTCAGCAGGGGGGAGCTCGCCTGGAATCGCTCACAGTCGAGATGACCGTGAGCACGACCCAGACCGAGAGTGAACTCGAGTGGACAAATCGGATTCACGAAGGAGAAGCTGCGTATCTCTGCCTGAGCAAGCCCCTCGATCCAGATGACGAGGATCAGGTCAAGCTTCAGCGACTTCTGAGGCTGTTCTGCCCGAAGATCGAGGACGACAGACTACCGGCCGAGGTGGAGCACGAGTTGGTGCTGTCCAAAGGCCACGGCCCGGGAGTGTCCTTCCTGCAGCTGACCCCCGCCTTGGTGGGCACGCAGCGGCACGAGATGATGCGCTTCTTCATTCGCTTCGAGAAGTACCTGATGATTTCGAAGCTGGACGGAGAGTCGCCTACGTACGAAGAAGCGTGGGATGCGATGCAGCGTCTCCTTTGGGGACTGGCGGCCACGCTCTACAGGTACCTGGACATGGACTATGACGACCCGGAAGTCCTATTCGGCCAGACGGGGTCGAGGTGCGAGATCTTCCGATGGCTGTTGCTCAATGGAGCAGGCGTCTACCGAAAGGCGACAGTGGCTTGGGACGAGTCTGACCTCGTCGGTGCTCCGGGCGCGCAGGACCTGAACGCCGAGGCGTATAGCTTCCTGGTGAAGTACGAATTTGCGGGATGTGATTGGGTTCCGGCGCGCAAGCATCGGACTGTACGGGGTGAGACCGACCGCAGGCCAGCTAATGAGTTCGAGAAGCGGCTCTTGGTTCAGTTCGAGGAGCCGTCCGACTCAGCAAGCGGACGCAGCTTGGTTTTCGTACCAGCCGATGAGACGACGAACGGGAAGAATCCGTCTCGGAGGATCATCTTGGACAGCGGTTCGTCGGTTAGTGTCAGAAGCGCGAACGCCGACGCAGGAACCGATGCCCGAGCCAGTGCCGGGCCGGATCAGTCAGTGACAGATGTGAGAGGAGCGACGGTCCGGACACAGCGGGTCGAGGCGATCACGGACAGGGTGAGATCGGTGGTGGAGAGCCTACACCCTCCTAAGAATGTCTACTCGGGGACTGGCCCGTATATCGACGGAGGAACGGGTCAGAGTCCAGCAGTGGTCTACCCAGTCGGAGCTGGAGTGCTCATGAACGACCTGTTCGCCCTTCGACGCGACGGACGAGGAAGTTTGCAGCCTCAGGGCTTCAACGCGAATCGGAGGGGGAACAGCCAGTCCATATCGACAAGAGTGGACACGGTTCCGACGGGTTCGAGCTGGGATGGCATGGAGGAGTTCTTCAACATGTACATGCCTCCAGCAGGGACCGCCGCTGCCGTACCTCACGTGGGATTACTGATACGGGATCCACACGGTATTTCTCGGGGTAACGTTCAGTACACGGGGTACAACGGACAGGTTGCAATTCCTTTGTTCTTCCCCATGGACGGGGCCAGAGTTGTGGGACTTTGCAATGGACGCCAGACGCACGATGTGGTTTGCTATTTGCTCGATCGAGCCGCTGCTGGGGATGATGCCACCCTATTCGGCTACACGTTCGACCATCCGAGGATTGCGGATCGAATGACCGCTGCCGCCATCCGTGGAGTCGACGCGCTCATGAACCTCAACGCGGAGGAGGTCGACGGGGAGAAAGATCGGACGAGAACACCGAGCACCCTCTTGAGAATGATGGGAGAGTGCAACGAGGCGGGCTGCTTGCACCGGCTTCATGTGAGGAAGAGCCGGGGCAGCAATCTCCTTCCAGTGTACTCGGCCTATGCCCGACAGCTGTCAGGCCGCCTTAGCGACAAGCAGGGGGCGCAGCACAGCAAGGTATTCTCCGTCGGGAAGTTTCTGATTGTCGGATCGACGAACTGGACAGTGTCATCGGAAGCGAATCAGGAGTTGTCCGTGTTGCTGTACATCGAGCCGAACGGGACGGACCTCAGAGCTCAGGCCCTGACCGACATGGGTCGATCGGGGATAGCTACGACGTACGCGGAGATCCAGGAGACCGTGGAGAAGGTGGAGTTGGCTTCTTGTCAGTGCAGGAGCGCAACCAGATCAACATATTCAGAGAGCAGAGGTTGCGAGAGCCAGACCCTCGTCGAGATCGAAGCGTGGAGCCGAGGTCTGTTGAAGTCACGGACGACCGCAGAAGGTCTCGGTTCTACTGAGGTCAGAGACAAAGAGAGATGCTCCGAAGTCAGCTGCTCCCCGATCCCCAACAGACAGTCTGCGAATGGTGCTTACCCAGCGGAAGCTACGCTCGGAGACCGAGCTGGAGACAGAAGTCGAAGAGGTGGAGTGAGCCTGAGCGAGGGTTGCCATGGCTGTGCCTGCGATTCCTCTCGCTGTTTCCTGCCCCTCTTTGCCTCCGCTCCCTTCCTGCTGCACCCAGACCTGCTTCCCAGGAGGAGCGTCGAATGTTTGTCGGCGCTAGCTCCCGAGTGACAAGCCGGGAAGCGGGTAGCCAACGCCGTAGCTGGCCTCGGAGAGGCTCGGCTGCCGTCTTGCGCCGTTTGCGCCCTGCGCGTCGAGCGCAGACTTTGTGGTCGAATGCTCGGCCACCGGACTGCAATTTTCATATTGTAATTTGTGCATCTGTCGCCGCGCTTGCTAGAATTTAAGATTCTCGGCGCAGGGAGGTGCAAGTACCCGGCACGGCCGAGGGACCACCTCTCTGCTCCTGAGCTGTTTATGCGTTAGCCAGTGCGACGCGATGCGCCTTAGCGTTTAGCTGGACTGCCGAAAGGGTAGAGCGTCTGCGTCCACGTTTGATAAGATGAATGGATTGGATTAGAATGAAAAGTTGACTTTGCGCTGAGCACGCGCCGAGAGCTGCAGTGAGTCTGAGTGTTAAATTTGCGTAGCTGCAGTCTGGAGGTGCGGGGATGCTCGTGCACAGTTTTTAGCAGCCGCGGCCTGCGGCGAGCGCGTTTCGCCTCGGCGACTCACCCTTGCGCAGGTTGCCGCTAGAGCGAGGATCGACAGTCGGTAGCGCTAGTCAGTGCGGCGCGGTCCGCTTCGTTGCGTTAGGCTGGAGCTGTCCGCCTCATCGGAGCTGCCGTGCCTCCTGTCTGTGTGCTCAGTCGATCAGAGGCGGTTCGAGTGAGATGCCGAGCCGACCTCTGTAGTGTTTTAAATGAATTAACACAGGCCCATGCGTTGCAACGCTCGTGCAGGCACCGATGTCGGTGCACGCGGAGTGTTGCGGCGGGAGCGCGTCCTGTGCTCGGCGCCAGTGTCGTCGTTGCCGCTGGGGGCGCGGTGCGTCAGGGGCTGAGGCGCAGTTGTTGACCTCGGGTCGGCCAGGTTCTTCTTGGCTGGACCGAGGTCGGCGGGTGGCATGGGCTGCCTGCCAAGCACTGCGGCCTCTTGCCGAGTTCGTCTCGGCGGGTCATTTTGGCCCAGCCTCTTGTCGTGCTGCGTTCTCCTCCGGCGCCGTCGGCACGCGTGCCGATCGCGGGGCGCGTCGCCTGCCAGAAGGGCTGGAAGCTGCGGCCTTCGCGCCAGCGGCCAGCGCTGACCTTCGTGCGAGGGCCCGAAGGGCGTGGCGCGCGTGCCGTGGACTCGTGTTTCACCGTCGCGCCAGTGCAGAAATCGAGCGATCTGCACATGAGCAAGCAGCGTTTCTCAAACGCTTGACCCTGCGCAGTCAGTGCGTGCCCTACCGAGAAGGAGGGCGCCTCATAGGAGATTGCCGTCTGCCTGCAGCACAGGACGGTCCTCCCTTACAGTGCGTGGATGCACGTCGCACCCCGGAATTGCCGTTCCGGCAAGGGAGTGCAGTTCGTCTGCTTTGCCTAGCCAGCGCAGGCAAAGGAGGACCCGTCGCGGGGGCATTGTGCGCTGCTCGTTCGCTGTGCAGCATCGGTCGGCGTTTGCCCCAGACTGGTGCTGTGGTGACTGTCCGCGTCACGCTCTCTGATTCGTATCGTTTAAGAAAGCCATCGTGCCTGCATCTTGGTCTTTCGTTTGAAGTTTTGTTGAATTTGCGTTACTCGAATCTCGCTGTTTCGGTCAGATCTTTTTGACATAGCCGATTTCGGACGCCTGACCCCGGCGTTGTGAGGTGAGAGAACATCTCCCCGGCGGTGCGGCCCACGCGAGGAGTTTGCAGTGTTGCACTTTCCTTGCCCGGGGGCGCCATTTGCTATCTCGCTTTGATTCTGTACCGAGGCTGTCTGTTTTCGAGTTGATTTTTTTTTGAACTTTGTGAGTTGCATTTCGTTTTAAGTTTTGCGCGTTTAACGAATTGTTTGTGTGTTAGGCGATCGAACCTTTGTATGGTAGCAGTTCTCAGACGCCTGACCCTGGCTCGGAGACCCAATCAAGCGTGAAGTGGTCTACCGAGGTGCGGCGCACCTTCTTTGAAGCCAGGGGCACTGTCTGCTATCCCACTTTTGGTTCGCCATCGTGTAGTGCATTTAGCTTTTCGTTTTGAATTTGACTTACGTTTTAAGTGCAGACGTGGGGGCGGCTGAATGTATCGAGTTGTAGGTACGTCTGCTACCCACTGTAAGATCTGTAATATTCAGTGATTGCTTTGACGAATCACTAGACAAGCAGTTATGTTTGATGTTTCCATCGACCATCACACTTACAGTCGTTATGGTCCGATGGCCATTTTTGGCTCAAGCCGTTTTGGCTTGAGATTGGAACGGTGATCGAGCGAGTCGCTGCCCGCGATCGCTCAGTGGAAAAGGATTGCTGCCGCCATTGTGGATCATCTTCATTATCTGCAGGGACTGCATTCAGTTGGATACGTCAGTGGCTAGACTAAGACCACGCCCGGACGATCACATTGGTTTAATTACCTTTGAGGATATTGGGTCTAGTTCAAGTAAGTACTGAACGGATTCATCCGTCCTTCAGGAGACGGCTGTTTGAGACACTGGTAGTTGGCCGTCGTGGGCCCCCTCGTCGCCGCGGCTTGACGCAGCGCGATAAATTGGTGTAGGTGGATCCTGGGAGGGGTCCGGGGGGCCGATTTGGATGAGGTCCCAGTGTCCCAAACCGCTTTGCTCCGAAGGTCCCCAGACCGGGGGGTCCCGAGACCAGGGGGTCTCAGAGCAGGTCCGTTTTACAGTTCGCCCTCGGGGGGCCCCCTCGTCGCCACGGCTGGACGCAGCACAAGAAATTGGTTGGGTCTGTAGACCGGGGGGGTCCCCGGACCGGGGGGGTCTGTAGACCGGGGGGGCCCCCAGACCGGGGGTCTGTAGACCGGGGGGCCCCCACACTGGAGGAGGAGGAGGGAGGAGGAGGGAGGAGGAGGGGGGGAGGAGGAGGAGGAGGAGGAGGGCCCCCAGACCGGGGGGGTCCAGGACCGGGGGGTCCCAGACCAGGGGGGGGGCTTGACCGGGGGGTCACTCGACAGGGGGATCACCCGAGGGAGGTGCCCTCAACGGGCCCGCGGCTGAAGCTTGGGGCTCCTGCCTGGAGCTCCAGCCTGGTAACATCGATCTTGTTACCCTGGCCCGGTGGGTCGGGACTGTCAAATTCCCGGCCCCATTTCACCTCAAGTCAAGTGTTTTGTTTGCAACAAGAGCACCCCGCAGAGGGAGTGCTTCGTACTTGAACGGATATTGCAGCGCGTCTGCCCGCGCTACTGGAAATGGTATTGTACTGTCAAAATCGATCGCTGTTGGTTGAGCACCATCATTCCTGGTCACTGTGCGCCCAGCTAACCACTGGGCCACGTTTGATACTATATCTTCTGAGCCATATTAACGCAATACTTAAATATTAACGCACGAACTACCGCAGTTTAGGGCGAATCACTTAAACAACATGTTATCAGAGCCGAAAGTAGTGGTGTACATTACCAGGTGCTCAAAACCAACTGACAGTGACGACCATAACAATGAAAGATACCATGATGCCTCGTGCTGACTCGCGCAAAAAAACATGGACGAGACGCCGGCAGAAGCCTTCGGTGATCTTGAAGCCCATAAGGCCATGCCTCAGAGCGTCGGAGATGATCGTTGGCGGATGGTCCAATGCTAAGCGTGCAGGGCCGACTTCCCGATGCCTGAGATCACAGACACGAGTGCTGGCCCGACACCGGCCTGCCCAATATGCAAGGTTGGTAAGCTGGTCAGCGGGCGTTACCCGCGGGACAAGGTCTGGGCCCATGGCCCCGATGACGATGACAAAGACGAGAAAAGACCGCGGTCGACCAAACCTGGAAGTCGTCCTCGTCTTCCTATCCAGGAGAAGGACAGAGAGAGGTCGCCCAGGCATTCGTCGCTCCCTACCAAGGGAAAGCTCATGCCAATCGCCCGTTCGACTTTATCGGAGATGGCGAAATCAGCAAAGAAGGTCACGATAGATAATCAGAGTCCAGTAAAGCGTTCTTCTCAGCAATCGAGGATGTCTGGTTCGTCAACTGACAGATCAGCAGCAAGCATGTTCTACCCAGATCAGGAGACGGGCAAGGTGCTCGACCTCCCGATGTCTTCCGCCGCGGCCCGGAGAGTGCCTGACAGTCCATCTGATCCACATCCGGCCCGCGGTCGAACTCCCGAGCCGCGAGCAACCATCAGACAGGGTGGGGCATCAGGGTCCAGGGGCAGCAGCGCGAGCCGAATCTTGGGAGGACGCAGTCTCCTGTCGAGCGTGGGCGGAGTGTCGGGGACGTCGGGCTCGTCCCGCAGAACGACATGTTCGGTCAAGTTTGCGGGATGCTGCGAAGGGTTCGGCACAGGGGTGCGGCGACATGAGGTGCCGGAAGAACATCTGCACATGATGTAGCAAGACCTGCCTCATGGGCTGCAATTTGCCAAATCCTTGCCCCAACTGCCACGACCCCAAAGCCCGCGCGTGCTACGTTCTCATGATGCAGCAGATCCAGGAAGAGTCCGGGGCAGCCATCGCCCCCGTCATCGAGCAGAGCCGACTTGCGAATGAGGCTACGCGAAGGGAGGCGGAGCAGAGACCGATGGGTTTGGAGCAGATGGTCCGCGAGTCGAAGGACGCCGAGGCCCGACTGCGCAACGAGAAGGAGCTCATGCAGCAGCGGGTCCATGCCCGGGTCAGCGCCCTCGAGCAACAGCGTGCCAACGATATCGCGCGTGGCGGGCTCGATGAAGCAGCGAATATCGAGGAAGCCCAACAGAACATCAACGCCGAGACCGCCCGTATGTTGCGGAACAAGGATCGAGAAATACAAGAT